TCGTCCTTACCCGCCGGGCGAGTACTCCAGGTTGAAGACGGCTCCGTGCGTGCGGGTAATGGGCGACACCGAGTCGGCGGGCTGGATGGCGCCGTAGAGCCCGGTCATGGCCCGGAAGGTGTCCCTGGCCGGCTCCACGAAGCAGCCGCCCCGGCCCAACCGCCGCCCGCGCAGCCAGGAAAACAAGCCCCCCCCCGGCACCGAGACCGGCACGGAGGAGGAAGCGGCGGCGGAGGCCGGGGGCGACTTGGGCGACGGAGGGGGGGACGGCGGGGACGGCGGCGGCGTCACTCGGTACGTGTCGCGCGGCGGCGGCGGCGATGACCGCTCCGGGCCGGCGACCCAGCGCCCTTTCCAGCTCATCCCGAGACTGGCGGCGGCAGCGGCAGCATCCCCCACTCACACACCCTTCAGAGGCCGCTTCTTCCCGCCCCCTCCCCAACTTCCGGTGCGGAGTGCATCTGCCAAACGGCGCCGCCGAGGAGCGCGCGAGCCTCGGCCTCGATAGGCCCCGCGGCGCCAGAAGCCACGCCCCCCCGGTGAGGCGCAGCCTATCCGCGGCGCTCGGGAATGCCCGTTGAGAAGGCAAACGAAGGGACCTCGGGGACCCCAACTGCCTTGGAAAAGGGGCCGTTGACTTGGAAGCAAAGCCCGCCCCCCTCCCCACTGTATTTGTGGCTAGATCAGGATGCGCACTCGGCAGCAGACTGTTAAGTCTGTCTGTAGCAGTAGAAAAGAGCAAGAAGAGTCCAGTAGCAACTTAAAAGACTCACAAAATCTGCGGGCAGGGGGTGCGCTTTCGTGAGTCACGGCTCGCTTCGTCAGATACATTTCACGAGGTTGATGGATTTCCATCCTTTTTTTTTTAATGTTTTTTTTATTTTTTTCAATTTTTAATTTATAACAATTCTAACACTTCAAACGGTGCCTTCCATGGAGACAGATCGAGATGGGCAGCCGTGTTAGTCTGGCTGTAGCAGTAGAAAAGAGCGAGAGTCCAGGAGGCTCCTTAAAGACTAACAGCATTTGTGGCTGGGGATGAGCGTTCGTGAGTCACGGCTCACTTCGTCAGATACATTTCACGAGGTTGATGGGTAGCCGTGTTAGACTGGCTGTAGCAGTAGAAAGCTGCTGCGGTGGCTCAAGTGGTTAAGACGCTGAACTGTAGGCTGTGGAAGGTCAGTAGTTCAGCAGTTCGAGACCAGAGTGTGCCGCATGATGGAGTGAGCTCCTATCTCTAGTTCCAGCTCCTGCCAACCTAGCAGTAGGAAAGCAAGAAATTGGAAGTAGATAAATAGGGACCACTTCGGTGGGAAGGTAACAGCGTTCCGTGCGCCTTGGTGTTTAGTCATGCTGGCCACATGACCATGGAAATGTCTTCAGACAGCGCTGGCTCTTCGGCTTTGAAACGGAGATGAGCACCGCAACCCTAGAGTCGGATTTGACTGGCTTTAGAGCAAGGGAACCTTTACCTTTACCTAGCAGTAGAAAAGAGCGAGAGTCCAGGAGGCTCCTTAAAGACTAACAGCATTTGTGGCAGGGGATGAGCTTTCGTGAGACGCTGCTCACTTCTTCATGAAAGCTCATACCCTGCTGCGACATATTTTGTTAATCTTTAAGGCGCTACTGCACTCTTGCTCTTTTCTATATTTGTGGCTGTAGAACTTAGTCCCGAGCAAGCACCCGTAGCTACAACTGAGGTTACCGTGGCAAGTGGTAGCTGGCTAGAATTTTACTAGTTTCGACTTTGCCAGAACGAAAAGGATACCAAAATCAGGGGAATTTTCCTTATTGAGCGTGAGGGGAAAAACATTCAAGTCCCAGCAGTAACACCAGAGGGGTAACTATGTCACGCTGTTGCAGCAAACAGGAGACCACTCGTGTACACCCTTGGTGGCAGAAAGTGCCCTCAAGTCACAGCTGATTTATGGCAACCCAGTAGGCGACGTTCAGAGGTGGTTTGCTATTGCCTGCCTCCACATCACTACTCTAGTATTCCTTGGACGTCTCTCATCCAAATACTAACAAGAAAATAAAGGGCTGCATGTGTCACAGAAGATAAAAATAGGGCCAAGGCCAATGTTGCAAAAACAGGTAAAACATACGGTACTTTATTACTCAAAACTTCTAAACATTCCCTTCATGTTTTGCCAACAGGCTTCGTCATGGGAATCTGTTCATCATGCAGTAGTTCTTCAAAAAGAGTTTTTGGAAATATAAGTAATAAAGTATAGTTTTATCTGGTTTTGCACCATCAGCTTTGGCCCTATTTTTATCTCCATCCAGATACTAGCCAGGGCTGACCCTGCTTAGCTTCCCAGAGCTGACAAGATTGGACTAGCCTGGGCACTGGTACCCTTAAAGACTAACAAAAGTTATTCCAGCAAAAGTTTTAGGGGGACTAGACCCCACTTTCGTGAACTTATTTAGGCATCTGAAGACTTGGGCGCAAGTTCATAAAAGCTCATGTTAGAATAGCATTCTGTGAGCTGTTAAGTGCAATTTTACCCAGAGAAGGCGTGTGTACACAGGTATCCCTACAGGTTGCATATAGCCATGTCATACCTTTTCAGAACCAACCTAGATGATACAACACAGGGTGCAAGCTTCTGACCTCTCCAGAACTCTTCTTCAGACTGGATGCTAAAGGGGGTGGGGGAAGAGGAACTAAAACGGACTTCGCGTCTTGTCAGCATCCTATATGGTATGCTGCTGAGCAGGTGTCCAAATTTAAAGTGGTGCTGGTGTCATGTTGTGCCCTTGTCCTTCTGGGAAGAAGCAGCAGCAAAACAAAACACCCAAACAGCAGTTTAATCAAACTCCTCTCTAGCAACAAACGGATCACACAGCTCCCTTACGGGTGAAAGGAGTGGGAAAAACATGATCATATATACCCAGAGGAACTGCATTCCTTTGGTCATTAAAAAAAATAAAACAAAAGAGACATTGCACATACCCTGGGGCACTTTACCCCTGGGACTGTTGCTTTCAGCACAGGGAAGAAAACAAGCCCTCTTAGAATCTTCACATTCAAGCACTGGAAAACAACCTAGGTCCAGCGAGGAACATGAATGTAACAGCTCTATGCTGAATGAGGCCCCATTGAGCAGAACTAGAAAACCATAAACACAATCCTTAATAACACTTTTTATTAGGACCAACTCAATGACACACAACAGTTCCCCAGAACACTTTATCAGGTCACATGTTACTTCTGACATAGCCTCTTGTTCAAACTAGTCCATTGCCCACAAAAAGTAGCTACAAGTGCACTGTTAGCATATTCAAGAGCCATCAACTGGGCGTGTGTGTGGCTAGCATGCAAACATATTTGCCTTGCATGGTTTGGAGACGTTAAGTGTATGCAAAGTTTAACAGATAAGCTCTTCAGTCCTCCTAGCGTCATGTTTAAATTAAGCCCGAGATTTTAGAACCAGAGATATCAAAGACTGAACCTGAGTTATACTGTATGCAAAGCCTACCTCTAAGCCAGAAGCCCTCCTCCAGAGAGAGGGACCATGGAGTTTATGAGATAAGTGTGGCGCAAAGACAACAATTTTGCCCTCTCTCTCAAATTTCTTACCTAGCAGATGAGAAGAACCCTGCCAAGACAGACACCAAATTCAGAGAAGGATGTGAGGCAGAACGTTTCATCCCCTCAGCTATATTTGGGCAAGTATCTTGAACCTATTGTTGGGAGGAGAACATCTCCTTCAGAGCCCTATGCACCCATACCCACACATGCCAAACTGAGTTCAATAACACTAGGAATTAGGATTCATTACCTTTAATCAATTATCAGGTCAATCTGAATGCTTACCTAGCTATCATGGGGGCACGTGTAGTAATTTCCACAGCCCACTGCAACAAATCCCTTTGGCATCATAAAGCTTTCATAGGCTCGACACCACTTCTGTCAGATGTCTACCTCCCCCAAGTTTTTAACATGCCATGAGAATAGCAGGATATAAATTTTTAAAAGTGTGATTTTAAGCATAATTGAAATATTGGTACCATTTGAGGCATAAAAATATGGACGTTGCAAATCCTTTAACAGCTCTTTTCTGAATGTGCTCATGAATTAGATGCTGGGAAAGATGAGAAAAGAGACCTTTTATCTGATTTCTTCCAGCATACAAAATCTGCTAGTCTCCTCTCTTCTGGGAGTGTTACTGAGTCTAAAATGTGCACGTTTTCCAAAGGTTAGTATAAGCTTTGTCAAATAACCCCTACGTCTAAAGGTTTTCTTGGTACTCTCAAGGAAAAAAGAACAAGTAACCATTTTTCTAAAGGACTGTGACCTTTGTTGTATTTGTTGGTTGCCATTTGTGCAAATTCTAATTATACTTGTAAATCTGTTTCTAAAATGAATATGTTTTCTGAACTTTTTGCCTCCTCCTTGGTCTCAGACTGGATTTACCAATCAAGTTAACTGGATCGTATGCTCTTAATGCTGTCTCCACCTAGACCTGAGAGGTACTGGCGTGCAGGCTGGTACCAGAACAGCAACAAAAAAGCATTCATTAATGATTTATTCACCACCTTAAACTTGTTGCTCCATTGTCCCCATCTAATAACATCTCTGAAGGAAGTGCAAACCTCGTTTAATCCTGTTCCATCCAGGGGTAGTCTAAAATAATCCCTAATTTTAGTAGGGGACAGTTTGGGGTGCACTGTATGTTTGTTTAGGCAAGTCAGTAAGTAGCCTGAGGGTGAAATTAATTGAGCTGTCTGTCTCTACAGCATTTGGTAAAATGTGTTGGATATGAAGTGTGTGTATACTATTGCCTTTGAGAACAGAAGTCATATTTTTTCCTGTTACATGACAACCAATTCCATGCTAGACAGGAAAAACAAAAAAGGATTCTCCCCAATGGGGACCCGAAGCAGCTTACATTTTTCTCCTCTCCTCCATTTTATCTTCACAACCACCCTGTGAGGCAGATTAGGTTGAGAGTGCATGACTGACAAAAGGTCACCCAGCAATCTTCCATGTGGCAAAAGTATGGATTTGAACCTGGGTCCCTGAGATCCCTGTCTGACACTTTAACCACTACACCCCACCCTGGCTGTCTGCTTGCTTGTATCAACAAAACATACACAGAGGCTGTTTGACAAAGTTTATACTAACAGTTGTAAAATGTACACATTATAATGGTTCAATGTTAGACTCAGTAATGCTACTAAAGCAGTAGTACAAATGAGGAGTAGTTATTTTAAAAGCAATGCAAACTACTAACCAATTACTGATTTGGAGATTTTTACAGTATTTCTGGACAGACCAAATTGTAAAGAACAGGATGGCCAAAAAAAAACCCTTTTGCCATTTGAGAACAATCACTTTACTAATACTTTGCTGTTAATAAGGGAGGTACTTTGGCATGATTCCCTTCTCCATTTTCTGCTTCCACTCAATGCTAAACATATAAATAAAAATTCTGATTTCCCCCCAGCATTTCCTCACTCTCCTCCCAGGATGTATCAGACCAGAAATCCCTCTTGGTCCTGTTTTGCAGCAATAAGACCTATCAGTGATCAGACTAGCTGGCATTGCATACCAGGATCCAAGACACCCAAGTTCAAATCCATACTCTGCCCTGAAAGTTCACTGGGTGAACTTGGGCCACTCAGTCTATCTCAGCCTAACCTAACTTCACTGGGTTCTTGGTGGGAGGATAATAATGGAAGCAGGGAGAACAGTGTTGTAAGCTGCTTTGGGTCTCCATAAATTGCTACAATGAAGGAACCGTTGCAATTGTTAGGAATCAGATTACTGAACAAAACGTTTTGGTAGGCAAGGCGGCCACAAAAGCAAGAGGACTGCTCACAGAAGATGGCAAGTGACATTGACCCCTGGCCAGTCTTTAGTTTCTCCCTAGACCTTCAGCACTGGTTTTAATTGCTTGCCAGTCTACTTATTTGCCTGCATTCCCCTCCACCCCAACTCAGTGTGTCTGCTTTTATCAAGTGCATATGCCATACAGTAAAAATCAAGAGACACAACGTTCCCCACCCCAACTGGCTATCATGGGCTCTATCAAGGGAAGAGGGGACTCTTCCGGCTCTGCAGTGCAGGGGCTGGGCCCACTACTATTGAAGCAAAAAAGGCAGAAATATTCTTCTGGAAAAAGAAGTAACTGGAAAGACTCTCTGAGGGCTCTGGTTCAGATCCAGAAGCCACTTCTGTTTTTCCATGGTGGATACAATCTTTGACAGATACGTGGCTCAGAAACTGCTGTGTATGTTATCTGCTTCCCAGATGAAAAAGAGATGCGGATGTCACCATCCCTACACTATAAGCACAGACTTTTCTTGACAATTATTAGTCTCAATGTCAAAAATGTTGTGAAGACGCCTTCGACGATCTAAAGTTTCCCGATGTCTCAACCCCTCTATCAGAACAACAGTTCTGTTACGTAAAGGAACAAGACTGGCTGAGAGAACGGAGGGGGAAAACCCCTCTGCTCGGATCTCTCTCACACAAGGGCAGTGTGACCAATTCCCACAACTCGTGGCCATTGCATATGCAAAACCCTAAGCCAGCCCTGCTAAACGAAATTATAGATAAGACGAAAGCGAGAATCCTGCAACTTCTTTCCAAACAGTAATATATCACTCAGCTCTTGCATCACGATCCAGAGAAGCTGAGCGGAAAACACCTGATCTTGCCACATCTTTGAAGGACCTCATTTCAAGAAGGTCTGACTGGAAGATGCCCTCGAGGCTTTGCGCAACAGGAAGTCCAATTTCCATTCTGTCTGCCACTCTGACCTCACGCCCTGCAGGCAAGAGTCAGAAAAAGGTTTTTCCATGCAAAGGCTGGGGGGGAGCCAGCGAATTTCATTAAGAAGACACCGTCTCCCCTTTTTCTCTTGGTATCCTTCCCATGGTGTAGAATTCCTGGTTGGGGTGCAGATCCATGAGGTGAGCTATGCGGTTGGACATGGCAAAAAAGGCTGAAATGGCACCAATGTCCCAACAATCTTCCCGGTCAAACCCATGCGCCTCTAGCTTCTGAAAGTGCTCTTCGGTGATGTTCTCCGCACGGCAAACAGCAAGCGCGAACTCCAGGATAGCCATCTCCCGGGCAGTTAGGTCAGCCAGTTTCCAGTTCACTGTGACCTGCAGAAAAAAGCAAAGTTATGATCAATCATGAACTTTGGGCGTAGGAAAGGAAACAACACTCGGATTCTGTTGAGGCCAGGCAGATCAGCCGGGGCCAGGCATCAAATAAAAGCAGAATCTTAACCAATAAGAGGTGAACTCCAATCAGAATGTTTTGCTTTTTGGGACAGGATAGGTCAGATGCAGAGGATGATAGAACTCCTGCATCTTTAATAGGGCATTTTTGGAAGGTTTAACCTCTCAGCCTTATAGCACAATGCCGACAAGACGAACCTTCCAAAATGCTCTTTTCTCTACAATTCTAAGACTAAGGAACTTTCAGGTAAGAGCCCTCCCCCTTCTTGTTAAAAAGGTCTTTCAATGCATTCTCATCTAATCAAGTCTTACAATGTAGCTTCAACTATATGCTACTGAATACACAGCATCAACATTCCATAATTTTTGGTGACGTTTTAGGAATCTTTCCGTTTCTTACTCAAAAGTGTTGTGCACATTTTGCAAGACTGGTTTACACATCAAAACCACCATCACTCAAATCTATACAAATCTAACGCAGAATATTCAGGTTTCTGTTTGCCAAGCGCATCCTAAACATCTATGTGACGTTCGCTTCCTTGGTGACCCAAACATCCAGTTACAGTGAGGAGGGGCAAAAAGGCCAGCCTTACACATGTTTGCTACAGGAAACCACCACCAACCTCTCTCCAAAAAAGCACAGGAGTCAGAGAGGGGAACCGGGCAGGAACTGACCTGATCTGCCACCATCGGTTTCTTAGAGTATATCCGATGCAAAGCGCTATGCGCAATCACACAGTAGGGACACCTGTTAACCATACTTGTGGCCACAACAATGAGCTCTTTGTCCGCCTTGGTTAGGTTTCCTGTGGATTACAGTAACATAAGACCAGTTCATGTTTCAGGAGTCGTTTTGTGACTGATTCACAAGGCTTCTGCTGCTGTACTCTGCAGTTGCTTTCTCAAAATACTGAAACTGATGTGTGTCCCCCCCCCCATGCATAAAATTTTAGCAATACAGTTATGTCCTAAGGAACTGTGATGCTGCGCTGGAGTAAAATCAACTGCACATTCTTTAAAGCAGAGGATATTTGCAACCCAATTCAATGTAGGGCTCCCGCAGTCTAAGCCCACTGAAATAAATGGGTTCAGAGTGGGCACTTGCCTTAAGACATGTAAACCATTTATAATGGTATACTCGGGTAAACTATTTATAATGGTATACTCAGGTTTATATTTTCCACTGACCTGAGGTTCCATAGTAAACACAGAAAATGAAAGAGAATGTGAAAGTCAAGGCACACTTAGCAATAGCATCCTATTGTCCTACATCCTGCAATGTTCCTTTGTTAATCATTAATCATATGGAATGCATTTACCACTACTCTACACTGCAGTAGTTCTTAAACTACAATCACAGAGAACAAGACTTGTGGCTGTGCTTCACTTTCAGAAGCTGCAAGGTTCTCTACACAAAACTAGACACTGCCAGTGCAATCCTATGCATTGTTAGTCCAGTCTAAGCCCATTGATTTCAGTGGGCTTAGAGTGGAACAAGTCTGCACAGGACTGCACAGCAAGATTAGTTGGGCTGAGCATGCATGGGGAAGAACAGCAAACACAGCCAAGGAGTTCCTTGGAGGTCCTACGGGGTCTGCTGAGGAGGCAAGCCACTTTCAGCCTAAGTTATAACTTTTCTTTAAAAGCCTCACCTCTTCAGCATATGCCGAAACATCAAAGAATTGTCAAGCTGTTCAGCATTTCACCTCTTACTTTCAGCGTGGACTTGGGGATCTTTGAAAATACACTGGCAGCCATTGGCAGTCTCTGGTCAAGAGCTTAAGTAGTCACCAGTATGCTGCAATCAGGAACTGCACAGGTCACGTGGCAATTCAAAGGTCCCTCTTAATCACAAATCAGTGACTGCAGAGCAACGCTCCCTCTAAGCTGTGGAGTCTTGTGAGCAGAAATTCTACTTTGTGAGCTGTTCGCATTAAAGTTCTGAGTGAGTGATTTGGCGATGCGTCAATTAGTTTGCTCTGGAGCCGTCCTTCCTGAGCTGAGACAAAAATGTGCATGCTGCAATCAGGAACTGCACAGGGCATGTGGCAATTCCAAGGTCCCTCTTAATCACAAGTCAGTGACTGCAGAGTGTCATTGTTTAAATTTGATTTTTGTTCCAAGATCAGAACAGCAAACAGTCGAATTCCCAGAAGCTGGCAGAGAAGATCATCTAGATGCAGGAAGTAACGGGGGGGGGGCAATATTTGGGGACATCTGGGAGTGCAGTCTTCAAGAACAGTGGCTGAGGGAAGCAGGCGGCAATCTGCTATACTGGAGGGTGTATGTGGAAAAAGAGAGGAACTGAGGTAACAGCTTGAGCTTGTGGTTCCCTGACCCAATAATGTTTTACGATAGTCATATGAGGACAGAAGCTTCCATCTGGTTACAATCTGAGCAGAACTGTTCTTACCCGTCTCCTTGTTCATAATGGCGTTGTAGTAAGCAAAGAATGCTCTAAATTCTGCTGGTCGATGAGCCATCGCCTTAAATACATTGGGCAAAAAACCTGTCTGTTTTAAGAAGGGGGGAAATGAAGACACCTTAAATGAAGATACCCACAGCAAGTAGCAACTTCAGTCAGCTGAGCAGCTGAATGCCATAGCACATGCCACAGCCCTGCAGCCCCAGCGCGCACTGCCTTCTGCTAATTGTTGCCAGCCCCCCCCCATTCACCTGCACACCCCTCCCTCCCAGCCTGACTGTATGTCCTGTGCATGTAACACCATGAGCAAGTCCAACAAGGCACACAGAGAACATAGTGAGCAACTGCCATGTTTGATATCTCACAGAGAACCTTGCAGCGGTGAACAAAGTAGAGGCTCTTGGGACAACAGCCACAGCCAATGCCTCCAAGGAAGCCTTTCTGGGAAAAATCAGGGAGTGCCAACAGGGCGACAGCAATTAAACCATGCCAGGCTAAAAGACATTGACGCCTCCTCCTGTACTGTCTTTTACATGATGTGCAATCACTGACCATTAATACAATTTGAATGTTAAGTGCCCTTTGACAGTCTGGAGCCTCTGATTCAAATCTTCCCATTCTCCCCACAGATCCCGCTGAATATATGACTCAGCTTCACGTCTCCAGTTCTATAATCATGAATTATAATTCAACCAAGAGCTTCCCTTCTTGTTGCCCTTCCCTGGTGCTGTTTAGTCAGTTCTATCGTCTTCTTCTGATAAGCCCCTGACCTGGATAGCCCAGGCTAGCCTGATCTCATCAGATCTCGGAAGCTAAGCAGGGTCAGCCTTGGCTACTATTTGGAAGGGGGGCCTCCAAGGAATACCAGAGTCGTGATGCACAGGCAGGCAATGGCAAAACCACCTCTGAAACATCTCTTTCCTTAAAAACAAGTCTAGATCGCCACCTAGAGTGGCATAATGCTTAAAGAGATAGAACTTGTGGTTGCCACACAATCTTAGGCACTCCTGGCTATTCTACACACAATGCCATACGATAATTATTAATTCCTGATAAGATGCCCAACTCTCAAGCATTCCTTTATCTTCTGTCATAATCTTTTGCTTCTTGAACAGAACCTATTTTATGCTATGGGCCAAAAACAGTATAATTGCCCTGGTATTAGAGCCAGTAACTGGAATCTGATCCTGGATACCAATGGAACTACAACAGACTCCTGTCCCAACACACACACACACACACTGGATCCCTCCTTCTTCCCTCTGATTTTTTTGCAGAATAGGACAGGTAATCCTTTGCTCTCCCCATTTTCCAAACCACATGTACACCTTTAGCTGAAAGAGTAACTCCTGCTCCAATTTGGAGTAGCTCTGGTTAATGTTTGGTTGTTGTCACTATATTAGTTAGAATAAAGAATGTGTCTCTGCTTTGATTATGCTGACAGTATTTGCTTAGGATAAATCCCTCCCCAACTATTGTACCAACTCCCTCAATAAACGCTGTATTCCTTTTAAATCAGGTCTCTGTCATCCTACTCCTGCTGCAAACTTGCTACTCACAGCCACCTCTTTAGGTAAAAGATCCTTACTTTCTGTACCCCACACAAACATGCAAGCTAATCTCCCTGATTAATCTGGATGTATGTTCACATGTTTGTGGGGGTGTAATAACACAACTGCTATATCTGGTCAAAGGTACACAGTGTAGTCCCAAGTGGAACTTCACGTGGGAAGATCTTACCACAAAGCGTACCATTTCTGGATAATCAGGTTGGGCCAGGGCTATTTTTAAAAAATACACAGTTAAAAACCAGGGTTGAACAATCTGCTTTGAAGGTCCCTGGATTGCACACCTCACCCCCACACACACACATACATCATTCTTACCTTTACTTCCATTTCCTCCATGAGTTCCACTATATCATAGGGCAAATCTTTCTTATTCGGTATTGGGTATCGCCCAATGGACTTGTCAAGGTTCCCGCTGTCGGTGCTGTAGGCATGGTTCGAGGCTACCGTTTGGGGTCCTCCCCAAAAGCTCCCCGACACTCTGAGAGGCAGAAGCTAAAAGAAAAGGTGGACAGGATACCTTCTGTGTGACACAGTATTGCGGTTTTGTATACTGGGCATCATCTGCATCACTAGCTCGTCATATGGTTTACTGTAGTTTACGTATCAAATGTAGGACCACCTCATGTACTATCCATCCCACCAGCATGAGAGCATCCTAAACCCTGCTGTTGGCGCCCCGACCTGCAGAAGTGATCTAGAGACAGGGCTTTCTCAGTGGTGGCCCCTCACTTTTGGAATGCAGTCCTCCAGGATATGTGCCTGGCTGCACCTTATTTTATATAGTCTGATTGCATTGTTTTAGATTCAGTAATCCACTTTGAGCCTCAGTGAGAAGGTAGGCTATAACGTAAATTGTACCTTAAGCACCAAGCAAAAACCCACTCTTCTTTAACCTAGGCTTTGAACTGAAGGTCATCCCAGCTTTACAGTTGTTTTTATGTTCGCCCTGTCCTGAAGTATTATTTTATACTGATACTGTTCTACTGCTGCTTTATGTTCCTTGTAGGTTTATTATTAGTTCTACTGTTGGTGGGTTTTATATTTTGCATTGTTCCTAGGATTTTTGTTACTAAATTGTTTTTAATTTTGTTAGCCGCCTCAAGCAGATCTCCGAAGTGGTGACAGATTCAAGACTATTGTCGAAGGCTTTCATGGCCGGAGTTCATTAGCTGCTGTAGATTTTCCGAGTTTTGTGGCCGTGGTCTTGGCATTGTAAAACCTGGCATTTCACCAGTAACTGTGACTGGCATCCTCAGAGGTATAACACAGAAAGATGGAGTACTGAGGGGCGGCGTTTCAGCGAGCTGATAGCGGCTGTGTCTCCTGGGATCTCCCAGGGAGGCAGCTCGCAAACCAGCAGTTAGAGAGGTGGTGCGAATGTCCGCACCCCCTGGGGACCTTTGCGAAAGGTCTCCAGTCATGGATTTGCTTCAAAGTGCTGGTTCTTACCTATAAAACCCTTGATGGCTAGGGTCCAGCATACCTAAGGGACCGCCTTTCCCCATATGTTCCCCCAAGAGCACTACGGTCAGAGGTGCAACACCTATTGGTTGTTCCAGGCCCCAAGGACATCAAGTTGGGTGCAACCAGGGCCAGGGCTTTTTCGGCGGTGGCTTCTGTCTGGTGGAACGAGTTCCAAGGGGAGTGTCACGATTGCCCTGGCGGGCGGGCTAGGCAAGGCACGGAGTATACAAAAACACAGGCAGCGGTCAGGGCACCAGAGAAGTAGAGAAACAAAAGAACAGTCCAAAATATCAGGTCACTTGCACAGTCTGAGGTTTACCAGAGATTAGCAGTCAGAGTTGTCAAGCCGAAAGCCGTTGCTCAGAGTCAGGTTACACTTTCCAAGGTCGGGGAGTCAGAAAAATGATGTCACGCAGTCCGGAGTCAAAAGCCGAGAGAGAGTCAAGCTGAAAGTCAGGAAACAGGATGCAGGGTCCAAGGTGCAGCGATTCAATCATGCGATCAGTTGCCAGCACTAGTGAAGAGAGCTGCCTTAAAAACCTGTTCCCTTTGTCACTAATTATCCGCTGATTACAGAGTCCCGGCCATAAGCGAGGCTTAAAGCGAAGGCGTATCCTCCATGGTTATGTTCTGATTAAGTCTGCTGGGCAGTAAGGTGACGAGACTCTCTTCAAGTCGGGCAGTGAAAAGCAAATTGGAACAACCCCTATGATTGAAGGCAAGAATTTAAGCAGAACAGTCCTGGAAAAAGGAGAAGGGACTTTGGTTTGAGATGGCCAGTTCCTGATACAGCAAGATGGTGCCACAGGGAAGAAGAGGAAAACAGCAAGAGAGGAGAAAATGAGATTGTGTAATATCTGCTGAGGGAGATTTATTGTTAATTTGCTTTTAGTAGTGAATGGAAAAATAATGGTTAAATAAGATGCCATTGTTCTCTGTAATTTGTGTCTAAGTTAAATAGCGATTCTCCTGGACTACTTGTCATATAGTCAGATTTGTTGGGATTTTTTACAAGCTATGATGATGACTGATCACTCTCAATGTTAAAGAAAGCTTTTTATTATTGTTAAGCAAATCCCAAAATAAGAGACATTCAGAGGTAATAAGATACAGTATAGCGAGCATATTGAAGCATTAGTTGTTGTAGATTTTTCCGGACTGTATGGCTGTGGCATTGTAGGACCTGATGTTTTGCCAGCAGCTGTGACTGGCATCCTCAGAGGTATAACACAGAAAGATGGAGTACTCTCTGTGTCAAGGTGAGAAGAAAAATGGTAGGCAGGTAATTTATATCTACTCAGGAAGGTGGGGTAGGGCTGAGTCATTATCTTGTAGGAGTTCCCCAGGCTATGAACATGCTAATGGAGGAGCTTTCCTGAGGAGGTTCTTTTGTATATGGATTGTTTCCTGAGGAGGTTTCTTGCTTCCTGAGAAAGTTCTTTTGTATGTGGATCAGCTGTTGAAATTCTAATCTTATCTGTAGTGCTATTGTCAGATGTAGAGCCTTTTGTTTTTTCTCAGCCTTTTGTGTTTTTCAGGACAGGAAACCATGCCCTATTTATGTTTAAACACTCTTCGTCCCTGTTGAAATTGTGTTTATGTTTATGAATTTCAATGGCTTCCCTGTGTAATCTGACATGGTAATTGGAAGTGTTGTCCAACCTTTTAGTGTCTTGGAACAAAATACTGTGTCCTGTTAGTTAGGCTAAATGTTCAGCTACTGCTGATTTTTCAGGTTGACCCAGTCTGCAGTGTCTTTCATGTTCTTTTATTCTTGTCTGAATGCTATGCTGTGTGGTCCCAATGTAAACTTGTCCACAACTGCATGGTATGTGGTATACTCCTGCAGAAGTGAGGGTGTTTCTTCTGTCTTTTGCTGATCGTAGTATCTGTTGTATTTTTCTGGTGGGTCTGAATACTGTTTGTAGGTTGTGTTTTTTCGTAAGTTTTCCCATCTGATCAGTGATTCCTTTGATATATGGCAAAAACACTTTTCAAGACTCTTCAGCTATTTGACACGCCAGCACCTGCTGAGCTTTGGGGAATGTTCAGTTCTCCTAAAGGTTGTCATCACCTTTTAACCTGGGTTCTAGCTGGCTGCTCTCAGTTTTGTGGCACAACAGCCCAAGATTATGGCCCTCTCCTCTATTTGTAGAGGACGTCTGGCTCACAACTGCAGGAGGGGGAGCAGATAGGTAGCTGGACCCCCATTGCAGGAAAAATTGTACCCAATAGGACTGTGTTTCCTAACCTGTGGGTTGGGACCCAGAAGTGGGTTGCAAAGCCTCTGAAAGTGGGTCACAGGCCAAGCATCCCTAACTGCTGCCCCTGCCCTTTCTATTGCTTTCTTTTGTATTTGGGTTCACTGTCTTCTTGAAAGCATCTGGTTGACCACTGTAGAAAATGGAATGCTGAACTAGAGGGATGCTGAGGTCATTGTTTGCCTAGGGTGCCAAAAAACCTTGGGCCTGCCCTGGGTAGGTCACCACCATACCGAAAAGAATCCCTTCCTGTCGTGGAGTTTTTATTTTAAAAGAAAGGAGGAAGGTACAGAAGAATCATTACTACAGGGCAGCCTGTATAAGGAGCAACTTCCCTTTTGTTTTGTGAACATCAAAAACACATTTCTATTTTAGACTTTTTATAACCACGATTATCCTCCGCTTTGATGTTATCTAGGAACAAGCATCTGTTGCACTGGGGGACAGTTAGAACACACAAGGGGATGGAGTCCAGCGTTGATCTAATTGTTTTCAACAAGAATTGCCGCTAAAAAGACGCAGCAGGCAATCAAAACGGGGAAAAAAACCCTCGTGAATGATTTATGAAAGGGCTAAAAGCAAGCTGCTGGGAGGAGATGGAGTCCAGCATTGATCTAATTGATTTCAACGAGAATTGCAGCTAAAAAGACGCAGCAGAGAATCAAAAGGGGGGGGGAACCCTCGTGAATGGTTTATGAAAGGGCTAAAAGCAAGCTGCTGGTATGTTTCACACAGACCAGATGGGCAGAGCTACTGAGCAAACCCAATAAAAGCAGGCAGACAAAGCAAATGTCTCAGAAGTCCCAGCAATGCACCGATGTGTGCAATAATACATACTGTGTCATCCTAAACAGAGCTGCACCCTTCAAAGCCCTTCAACTTCAGTCTACTTGGGAGGGTATAACTCTGTTTAGGACTGCACAGTGAGGTTAGGGAGTGCCGAACTTTCCATCCTGTTGCAATCTTTTATGCTGGGAGGGACAAGTTGCAGCTGACTTATGGTGACCCCGCAGGGTTTTAAAGGCAGGAGACAAACAGAGGTGATTTTGCCGCTGCCCGCCTCTGCACAGCAGCCCAGGACTTCCTTGGTGGTCTCCCATCCAAAGTACTAACCAGGGCCGATAGAGAATAAAACACAGGCAGGCAACGCCAATTACAGCCTGCAATGAAAACCACTGCATAGCCCAAGCAGTTTAGCGTTATACCAAACAGAGTTAGTCAAGGTTAACTTCCACATCTGTTGAGCCAGCAGGTTACCTGGCCTCTCTGGAAGTAAACAACTTTAGAAGGGCATTTACCCTGGCAAGGTGTTTTATTCTCCCCTCTCCAATACTTGAAGGTAGGTGTGAGAAAACTCCCTATACAGAAAACTATGTACATGCCCCTTAAAGGAGGTTGAGTGCTTTAGGGTATATGTTTTTTTAGTTGTACATACTATATGCAGCCTGTTTGGGGATTAATACATCTCTACCGGACAAGATTGTTGGTCACACAAATAAAGCCAGGCTTGGATATCTTCTATCTGACATGAATCCTAGAATTACTTACCAGGTTGCTAAATTTTGTGTGTGGATCATGAAGATATGGAAATTGTATTATAACTAGGCTCAAATTTGAATTCTGTTTATATTATGTATCTAGTATCTAGAATGTTTTATTATAATTTTCATGCATATGGATGGTCTAATGACTACTTCCACATCCTGTGACCAGATTTTCAGACCGTCTTTAAAGCAGCTGTTGGAAAAGGGCAATTTGGATTCCTTCTCCCTTTCATGCTGCCTCCCCCTACCACCACCAGTGTTCCCTCTAAGATGAGTTAGTGTGAGCCAGCTCACAGTTTTTTAGTCTCCAGCTCACACATTTTAGTCTTAGCTCAAAAAGGATGGCTCCAGAGCAAACTAATTTATGTAGTAGCCAAATCACTCACTCACCACTTTAATGCCAGTAGTTCACAAAGTAGAATTTTTGCTCACAAGACTCCACAGCTTAGAGGGAACATTGACCACCACCAGAAAGCACACCAGCAGAGTGGCTGTTAAGGAAGAAGCAGACAGCTGCTCCTTACTCCCCACTCTTATACTTCTATAAGCACCAGCTCAACCCCCAAAAGCTGCAATTCAAGGAATGCTTTACTTGGAAGTTAATCTCACCAGACTCAGTGGTATTTACTTCCCCGTATGTACGGCAAGATTTGAAAGTGGATCTGGCAAGAGATGAAGCGATGGGAAAAGAAGCGCCCAGTGAAAGCAGTGTTTACCCTACAATCTCCAAGAATACAACTCAGTTGAATAATTATTTTGTACAGTTTATTTCAGAAAGGGGGCTGGACTCCCTCTCCAAAGCAGAGAGGCCTGCGTTTAGTGCAGCAAGAGGCATACTGTTTCAGAGAAATCTCTAAGCTTACGCTTCAAATCCCCCAACCAATCAGCAGTCAGTAGAAGCACACAGAAGCCTTATACTGTGCAGCTTGTGTCTACGAACTGGAGTACCTGCGGACTGGTACAATAACCTAACACTGACATAATGAGAGGGTTACAACCACTACCTGGAAGATAATCTTTATTTCTAATAACTCATTTAATAAGAATTTAGGCTTTTCAAAAGATGAGCCTGAATGCTTTGATTTAATCTTTAATTGAAGGCAGCCTTCTCTATGCATTATATGCTGGGTTATTCTTTGCATTGTTTTCTAATTTTATAATCCAATTTTTTATTGTACACGATCTAACACTTCACTGCACTGCTTCCTAATCTTGTAATTCCTGCACTATGGTCTGTATTGTAGTGTATACTTTGTGCAATATACTACTATGCTGATTTTACCGCCTCCCTTTTATTCCTAATCCTTCTTTGAGCCACAAGTAAGGCAGGCTATAAATAAAACAAAAATAAACAATTATGTAAGTGATCTGAGAGCACCTGGAGTTGAATAATAAGGGTGCTTCAGATTTCAGTCTGAAGCCATCCACTCAAGGAAGAAGGCAGGAGCCAGAATTGGCTAGAAGGGCCAATATTTTCGATACCTCTTGTTTTTAACAAAGGGGGGGGGGGGGCTGCAAGATAAAGCTATCGCTGGGAGGAGGAAGTGCTTTGAGCTCTGTCTTAATGCGGGATCTTCTCTCTTTCTCGAACTTTGTCCCCCTCGCTCTTCAAGGGAGACCCAATGCTTTAGCCATTAGACTCTACTGCCCTTCAGCAGCCAAAGGCAGTTCATCACATCTGGGGAGTGGGGGTGCGGGGTAAGGAAGTCCTCCAACGGGAGTAAAGCATCACCTCACTCTAGCTGGCCATGTAATCGCGTGGGACGAAGACGAGCCGTGCCAGTGCAAGATGCAGGCAGTCCCAAGGCGCGACACCCACACCCCTTCTCCCAGCTGCCATAGCACATGGCCACCCCCCTCTGCTCCACCACACGGCAGCATGGCATCGCCGCAGCGACAGCCCAGACCCCTGGCAAGCACCTCTGCCTTAGTTCAGAACACGCAGCGACGGTACTCACGGGCAGGCAGCCCGGCCGGCGCAACTGCAGGAGACGGCTCAGCATGGCTCGCCAACTACGACACGGTGCAAAGACAGGGAAGCTCGGCGCTTTCGGACCCAAGGCCCCCTCGGCGACACCAGACGCGCATGCGCAACCAGGGCCAGCCGAGCCCGCCCCCATTTCGACGTCGTGACCGTCTTCCTCCCCCGAAGCCAGAAGAGCTAATTGGAGGAAGAGAAGAAAGGGGGGGGGGCGGAAGAAGAAGACGGGGCGAGGGAGGGCGCACGACCAACGTGGTAATAAAAACCCGCACAGTTAAAAAGATGGAAGTTCTAGGGGGGTGGATTCTCTGGTAAGCAGGGAAAGGAATCCGGCCGCGGACGGGTGTGAGCGGCGTTTTTAAGCACTCCGCTGATCAATAGCGGTGGATCTCTCCCCAAAGGGCCATGACTTGCTAACCAAGAAAGAGCAGCAACGACAACTCTGGGAAGCTAAATGACAAATGTGGAGTTCTGCCTGTACGTATCACGTAGGGTTGGCCAGGTCCGTCTTCGTCCCAGCAGGGAGACATGGGGGGGGGCTTCCGGAAGCAACGAAGCAGGGGAACTTTCCCGCTCCCACCAAGAACCACCTCCAGCGGCATCCCCTCCGGCTGCAAGATTTAAAGGGACCGGCTATGCGGCTTGGAGATCAGGCGTGCGGGGCGGTCCCACCTGAGCAGATGGTGGCCGGCAGTGCCGGATTTACGCATAAGCTAAATAAGCTACAGTTTAGGGCCTCGCAATCTGCTGGGGCCTCAAATAAAAACACAATATAAAAAATGATTTCAAATATTAAAAAGGTGTATATATTTTAAATTTTTCTGAGACCATGGATCTTTCACATCAGGCGCTGTTGGCCTTAAGGATTTAAAGGGCGCCTTCCCGGAGCTGGGGGAGGCGGGGGAACCTTTCGCGCCTGATCTGTAGTCTGTGCGCTTTTTTGAACAGGAGGGGATTGTCGATGTGATCAACTACAATTCCTAGAATGCAGCAGGTTCCTTTACGGTGGTGACGTTTGGGGAAGTTCCGCAGGGAGAACCTTCAGTTCGAGAAACGTGCGAAAGTCGCAACTCTTGTTTCTGAAATCGCGTTCAGTTCCTGCTGGTGGAAGAGCCGACTGTAGTATATTATCCTGTCTTTGCTTAGCTTTCTAGAGACGTAAGTTACAAACGCTGATCTTTTAATGTCAGTTGACTGCCTTAGCGATGTGGATGCTGAATGCACGTGGGTCGAAGCCGCAACCTGGATCGAAGCCGGTTTTAATGTATTTTTAGGGACCTGCTATGGGAGTTTAGCTCTGACCTGGATAGCACAGGCTAGCCTGCTCTCGGCAGATCTCGGAAGCTAAGCACGGTTGGCTCTGGCCATTATTTGGATGGGAGATCTCCAAGGAATATTAGATTCGCGACGGGGGGGCGGGCAATGGCAAACCGCCTCTGAACCTCCCTTGCCTTGAAAACCTCAGGAGGTCGCCGTAAGTCAGCCGTGACTTCACAGCACTTTCCACCCCGTGGCAGTATATCCATGTATCCATGTTATAATGTATTATGTTATTCCATGTTGATTGGGGCCCATTTCTCTTGAGTGCACGATTTCATGTGTGTGTTCTGGGTTAGTTCACTTTTGCCCTGAGTATCATTTGATTCCTTAGAGTTTATTTGCTTAACACTGTATGAATGGGTGCCACTGCCAAAAAAACAATGCATTGGAGGTGATATCAGACGTCTATCTCTGGCCTGATCCATTATTACATTTCAGTATGCAGATTGCCACTTGGTGCTACAATCCTTGAGTAATTTATATGCCTATGAAAGGTTTTTAATTATATTTAATTGTACTTTATGAAATGTTTGTAAGCTGCCCTGAGCCTGCTTTTGCGGGGAGGGCGGGATATAAATCATATCAATCAATAAATAAAACAATTAACTAAATTGTGTATGTGTGAACCAACCATGGATCTATTTTCAGAGACTAGCCCTATGAAGTCAATGGGGTTTTACTTGCAAGGAAATGTATTTAGGATTGGGGCAGTCTCTGATGGGTTTGTTTCAGAAATAGCTGCCTGTTTTATCCTTAAGGAAAACAAATTTCCCAGAACAATTTGTGAATGCAGCGTTTTGTTTTGTTTTAAAATTACAGGTAGATCAAATGTATTTTATTGGAATGTGTCTGTCAAATATACAAACAAACTGTATAATAAATAAATATGGGAAGGGGCCTCAATTCGGTGATCAAAGGCATGCTTTTCCTTCACAAGGTCCCAAGTTCCATGGCATCTCTGCTCAAAAGAATCTCTGTACTGTATGAAACCTCTGCTTGAGTCTAACCAGAGCACGCAATAGAGGACTGAATGGACCAGTCATCTGACTCTGTGAATCAGCTTTCTATGTTTGTGTTCCATAAAGATCCATGAGCTGATTTGTTACTTGAAGACTCTCCTTGCCTTCTTCAAGTGCTGTAATTTGCATGTATTATGCTACACACAGTAGTGTGTAGGAGTTTATACAATGCCACTGGAACTTTCCATAGCCTGTGAGAATTCTAAGTAGACTGGGAGGATTCCTGGGGCTCAGCCTGTCTGTGTGGCTCCTTCCGTCTTTCTCCACGAACCTCTCTCTATAGGGCAGCTCCACCTATTATAGTGTAGATAAAGGTAAAGGTTCCCTTGCTCGAAAGCCAGTCGAATCCGACTCTAGGGTTGCGGTGCTCATCTCCGTTTCCAAGCCAAAGAGCCAGTGCTGTCCAAAGACATTTCCATGGTCATGTGGCTGGCATGACTAAATGCCGAGGTGCACGGAACACTGTTACCTTCCCACCAAAGTGGTACCTATTTATCTACTTGCAATTTCTTGCTTTCGAACTGCTAGGTTGGCAGGAGCTGGGGCCAGAGACGGAAGCTCACTCCGTCATGCGGCACTCGGGTCTTGAACTGCTGAACTCCCGACCTTCCAGCCTGCAGTTCAGCGTCTTAACCACTTGAGCCACCGCAGCTCACTATTGTGAGGCATCCTCGAATTCAGTGCTGTAAGTAACGCATGAGAGAAGGGACATGTGCACCTGCCTCACACTAAGACAGACCCAGGCCCTTAGCCAGAACATTTCTAGTGGGGGGCAAAAGAGTACAGTGCTGTATTTATTTACTTTATTATTTATTTATACTTTATTAGTTATTTACCAATTTTCCACTTGAGACTCAAGGTGGATGACATGGTATAGAACACTGGAATCAGATGGCATGAGAGATCTTAATAAATGATGCAATAGGACTAGGCTTACGAAAATTACAAAAATGCAAAAAAGTCTCAAACATGCTATGTCAAGCAGTGCAGGAAATGGAATTACAAAAATGAAAAAGATGCTGTAAGAGCATGATAGAACATAGGTAAAGGTTTCCCTTGCTCAAAAGCCAGTCGAATCCGACTCTAGGGCTCATCTCCGTTTCAAAGCCAAAGAGCCAGCGCTGTCCGAAGACATTTCTGTGGTCATGTGGCCAGCATGACTAAACACTGAGGCACACGGAACGCTGTTACCTTCCCACCGAAGTGGTACCTGTTTATCTACTTGCAATTTCTTGCTTTTGAACTGCTAGGTTGGCAGGAGCTGGGGCCAGAGACGGGAGCTCACTCCGTCATGAGGCACTCGGGTCTCGAACTGCCAAACTACTGACCTTCAGGTCTGCAGTTCAGCATCTTAACCACTTGAGCCACATACAACAAATCAACTTATTTATTTATTTATTTATTTGATTACATTTTTGGATCGTCTAATCCCCACAATTGTGGGGCTGTAGGCGATGTACAGGATTAAAACAATAAAAACCATTTGCAGCACATATAATTCATTAATGAAAATCAAGTGGTGAAAATTTTTAAGGTTCCCTCTCATTTCCATGTGTCCCTGATGAGTATGGGGGGAAGGAATTAAATCCTTCAGGGGACAGAGGTCCGGGAAGGGTGCCAACCATTTTGTAAGCCATCGCTGTCCTCAACCAAATGCCCAGTAGAACATCTCTGCCTTACAGGCCTGCGGAATTGCACAAGATCCCTGTGGAATTGGGCAATAATATATAGCATACACTGGGACATAGAGTACAGTCCTGTTCTGTAGAAGCTTTATAAAAATGCCCTCCCAAGCAACTGTTTACATAGTCTGCAGAATTAAAGAAGTATGAGAGACTTCTTCCAGATACTGAAACCTGAAATACAACCTTCTTTTCTCTGTAAGTCACTCACTCAAGACTTCTAACGTGCCACCCAGCAAATGGGAAAGATCAGCAACTGGAAGATTTATGACAGGATTCACACTTTTTTATCTCAACTCCTTCCTTTTTTTACAAAATTTGCACCTGAAAGATGTATGACAGATTTCACACCAACCCCTAATGCTGATTGGAGGAGCGTGACAAATGATGGATGGGGCACCACCCCCTCTCCAACCACCGTGTCTACGGGCCTTGTCAGACCTAAGGTGTTGTCTACTGACAGCAGCTCTTTGCGGTCTCAGGTAGAGTTCTTTCATGTCACCCATTACCTGATCTTTCCAACCGGAGACTGAATCTGGGACCTTATTCATGGAGAGCAGCAGCTCTACTCCTGAGCCACAGCCCCACCGTGTATAGTGAGCAGGCTGAAAGTCTGAGGCTCTGGAGATCTTCAGCCAGTTAGAAAAGACCCTTGTGAGGTAGAAGGACCAATTGTCTGGCTTGTGAGAAGTTGTCCTCTTCTAGCTGGAAGCAAATGTTGCTTGGAGGGGGACTTTGACCCTGTCAGCTTAACATTCTTTTCTGTTCTGTGTTCATTTTCCTCCTTCCCTCCTCCCCAAACCAGCCTACAAGGGCACAGAGAAATGATGACCTACCCTGAATGTGAAGCAGAGGACAGTACCTGCAGAGACCTGTGTGATCGCCAGCCGGACTATGGAGTTGCTTGCCAGGGAAATGGAGAAGACCTCTGGGATGCTTTTGGGCTCCTGCAGATTGATGTGGGCTGTGACAGCGTTAGGAGCCAGTTCCTGGGAAATGAGACTGGGTATTCGGTATGTACTGCGTGAGAAAGATGTCCTGCATTTGAAAATGAATGGACGGTGCTCTGCAGCCATAATACGCTGCATGATCAACGGTTGTCACTGCTTGCTGCCCAGCCAAGGGGTTTCAGTTCTTTCTGTTATCAGCTGGTCAGCAATTACATTTTGAACTGGGATCATATTTATATATTTCATTTTTGCCCCACATTTTGTCCCAATGGGGACTCAAAGTGGTTTACAACACTCTCCGCTCCTTCAGTTTATTCTCACAACAACCCTGTGGGGTAGGTTAGGTTGAGCATGTGTGACTGGCCCAAGGACACCCAATGAGATAACATGGCAAAATAAGAATTTGAACCTGGGTCTTCCAAATCCTGGTCCAGCCCTCTAACCACTACACCACACTGGCAATGGGTAAAAAAAATGTCCTTGTAGGTATGCCTTTCTTCCTTTGTAAAGATAATGAATTCTAGCTATGGTTTGATAGAAGGGCAATGAAAGTAAATAGACAATACTTGTGCATAAATGTTAAGTGTCTGTTGTGTTTGAATAGATAGGTGAAAAATTTGGAAATAAATTTTTTTTTTAAAAAAAGATGCTACATTTTGAATGTTGACAAGACAGTCCTATGTTCTCTGTATGAGTCCCTTTAGAATTTTCTCTTCTTTCCATTAAGAGAAATGTTTTAAGGAAGCAGAGAAACTGGGAGAAGATAATTTCGGCAAAGAAGAGGAAACGGAAACACGAGAGAGAACGGCGTAGAGCTAAACTTGCTGACGAAAGAGGTACAGTGTAAAATCCTCAAGGCTGAGCTTTGTGAGATCCTGGGAGATCCATGATCAGATCTCTCCAGCAATTCCCCCTCTCTTAATTAGCCCCCGTGGGTCTCCAGTTCAGCTTGGGATAACAGTGTGGGGGGGGGAGCCTCTGCCTTCCCTGTACCTTTGTTCTGAGCTGAAACAAGCCAGTGGAACATACAGGCAACATTTGGAGTCATTTCTGCTTGGGATATTGGTGTTGTGGGAAGTTGTTAAGCATCCCGGCTGTGTGTCCGGTCCCCAGTCAATTCACTCTCCACATACACTATTGGCAGTGTAATGCTTTATTAGAGATATGATGCTGTGGGTTCAAGAGCTTTTGTTAGAACTAAACAAAACCATGGGAAATGACAAGATAAGGTAAAGCATTAAAATTTAACACGTCACACCTAACCCCTGCATTTCTATGGCAACGCAGACAGATATATGGTGCCCTATCTAAACCTAGGCTGGCATAAAGAACTCCAAGGTCAGTCCCACGGGAACCATCCCTCGGGGTGCAGCTTCAAGAAGGTTACAGCCTCTACTCCCATGCACTCCAACAACACCCCCCCTCCCAGGAATTTAACATGACAAGCGAAGGTGAAGAGAAACAGGACTGAAGGGAATCGAAACTTAGGGTTGAACTTGACACTGTGGTCCCAAGCTGTAGACTTCTGCAGCTGCCATTTTAAAATTAAAAGTAGTTGGGTGCTTCCAGGCATAGAATTCCTATTGTCAGCAATGCTTTAGGGTGCATGTTCTGTTCACACAGGACGATACTGAAGTCCAGCAGACCTGGTCAGTGCTGTGAGTCATATGAGGATGTCTTAGAAGACTGCCCATAAGCTTTGGCCGGCATGTCAATGCCCAAATGGTTCCCTGAGTTTAGAAATTTGAACACCGCAGATGTTGCTGCGTTCTGTGCGATTGCACTGAGCTGCAGACTATACGGCTGGTCTTCTAGAGAACCAGCCTGCTTTTCTCAAAAATTAGTTTCTTCTAAGATTTGCTGTATACCAATAGCTTATGCAATCAAGGATAGAGTTTTGTACAGAACGACGTTTGAGTCCAGTGGCACCTTTAGGAACAACAAAGTTTTATTCAAGGCATGAGCTTTCGTGTGCAAGCATCTGAGGACGTGTGCTCGCACATGAAAGCTTATACCTTGAACAAAACTTTGTTAGTCTTAAAAGTACCACTGGACTCAGTGTTGTACATCCATACATAACACAGTAACCACATTTTGGGGGGCGGGAGTTACTGGCCATGTGGTTACCTGAATATTCAAGAAATTCAGATAAACTTTATACACAGAGAAATGGGGGATCTATGAGGAACTACTAGAAGGGGGATGTGATTTCCCTCTTCCCCCCTCTCTCTTACTTGTCTTCTCTGCCCCTCCCCCCATGTGCCTGCAATGCCTTTCCATCGCTCCCATCCACTTACATTTTTCTGCTCCCTTCCCCTGGCAGCCTCGCCCATGTAACTTACCCATCCACTCACCTTCTGTGTTTCAGATCCAGCCCCCCAACTCAGTAAGCGAGATTTAAAAAGGATCACAAGAGAGCGCCTTCTAGGAGCCAAGGAAACAGGCCCTCGGCTGTGTGTTGACCTGAGTATGACCACTCACATGACTATAAAGGTAGAAAAAGCAAAGGAAAGTGGATCCTCCTTCCCTTTTATTCTCAGTTGGGTCTTATGGTTCTGCTGCTAGACATCACCTACTAACTACATAATTAGAGTCTTAGAAGAACTACAGGGTTCCTTCAGCCATTCCTTGTGATGTATCTGTTGCTGAACTGTACTGCTTAGGAATTCTGGGAGGAGGAGGCTAAACATTTGGGTGGTTCTCCATATTACAGAAAAATAAAACGCAAACTGTCTGCTCTTTCAGAATTAGTGTGACAGGCTGAAATCTTCTTGACATTGCTAAGTTTAGAAGCCCTGGAAATATTTGAGTGGTGGAAAGATTTGGGAGGTGGGAGCATTCAGACATTTTTCTGCCCGCCCCCCAAGTGTGGGGTCAAAGGGGCTACTGATCATTCTGTTAGATAGGACAAGAGCTCTAATCAAAGGCTTATTTTGGAACTTTTGTCTATGACGGGTGTCTCCATGTGGTCTCTTTCCAGCTTCACAACCTTCACCTAGCTAAGTTCGGGCTATCAACATTGCCTGGCATTTCCCCTTTTATTTATTTATACGCAAACCTCGCTTTTCTGAAAATGTAAAAGACTGAAAAAGTCTCTGTCACACCGGAAGGACCCAAAGATTTGGTTCTTACGCACGACTGAAGAGCTGACTGCGTCTGTTCTGTGGGACTATGTGGGGAAGCAGCAGAGTTTTCCTTGTTGTGTATGGTTGAGGGAAACCTGAGGAGGAAGGAAAGTTGCAGTGGGGAGACAAATTTATATTGCTACATCTGTGTTATTACTTATCTACCTCATACTGCTTCTTTACTTATTAGTTTTAAGTAGGTTACTAAAATATAGAAAAAGCTAGACCCCATTGTCTGTTTTATTAGAGAGGAGTGGTACGGGGAGGTACCTAGTTAAGTCTATAGTATTTTGTCCAAATCTTCAGCATCCCTCACTGTCCTGTCCCGCGCAAGCTGTGCTAAGCTCTCTAGGTGTGAGTCAACCAAGACTACTGAGGAGAGCTTAAATCATCTTTATTCAACTTCACACGCATTCAGAAGATCATTTACTCACAATCAACCAGATAGCTGGGTGGAAAGTTACATCTTGTGATCTAGGTCAGTTCAGTAGCCGCGGTGAGAAAGAGATGGACTTCCCCTCTCCTTGCAGTAAGGGTTGATGGACAAAGAAACGGAAAAGAGCAATAAAACTCCTATCTTTGCGCCTCTGAGCTCAGGAAATTGCTCTTAATGAGCCAGTCAGAGGGAAGCTTCTGGGACCCCTAACTGTGGACTACAATTCCCAGGTGCAACAAGTCTTAAAGATACAGTGCAGTTTTACTAAACTACAGATAATGCTGACTGGGGGCAGCACACTCACACTGCAGGGTCCAAGCAGAGGCTGTAATCTTCGTGGGGGCGGCGGGGCGTCAGCCCCCGCCGAAATTTTCAGGAAGGTGCTCAGCCTCCCCCGGGAGCCACCCTTGCTCCTAGCAAAGCAATGCCTCTGGCCCAGCCCCAGCCCCCCCCCCAGGAAATTGGAAAGTCTACACCCTAACAGCCAGCCAGAATGAAACAAAAACTTTAGATTTGAAAGGTACATGGGCAGAAAGGAAGCAGAAGGCCAGCATTTTTTGAGGTTATTCCAATTTGTTTTCTTTTGGCTTTTTTGGAAGGAAATAAGCCGCCTTGCTGCTCAGATAAGAAGGCTGTACGGAGCTAACAAGAAATCCCAGAAGCCCTTTTGGCTGTACCTCACTGGGTTTGTCCAAAACAGTCCAATCGCTGAAGAGTGCCTAAGGATGAATGATGGGTTTAGCAATTACCTTGTAAGTATTTTTAAAAAGTGAATGTTCGAAGTGAAAACGATGAACTAACCCAAAGCCTCCCCTTGTCCCCTCCTATTGCCTCCCAGCGCTGGTGTTCAGAGGATTACTCCCCTGGATGAGGAGGCTTTCCTTCAGTCTCCATGGCTAGTAGCCACTGATGGGTCTCTGCTCCCTGAATCTGTCTAGTCCCCATTTGAAGCCAACTGCACTAGGAGCCACCCTGAGGAAGCTGATTATTCTTTATTTTATTTTATTTATTTTGTCTCATTTATACCCTGCCCTCCCCACAAAGCAGGATAAGGGTGGCCTCCACTCAAGCATAAATACAATTAAAACATACAATCATATAAAAACACAATAGTTAAAAACAGATACAAATTCACAAAGTCCTGGTAGCAATTAATTAGTTATCCAAGACGGCTCACTTTCAGAATAGATTCCAACTTCCTAGATGTTGTTCTGCTCATAATTTCCTGCAGTGCCAGCTCGATGTCAAAACCAAGGGCCAGGGCTCTATAGCAGCGGTGGCTCCCTAACTAAACGCCTGGTGGAAGAGCTCCGTCTTGCAGGCCCTGTGGAACTGCACCAGATCCCGCAGGGCCCTGATCTCCGGGAGCTCATTCCACCAGGATGGGGCCGCTGCTGAAAAGGCCCTGGCAATAGCCAGCTTGGCCTCCTTGGGGCCAGGAAGGGTCAGTCGATTTTTTTAAAAGTTAAACTTCCTTTGGTCTGGCCTGAATTTGCTGCTCATCAATTTCATGTGGGGCCCCCTGAATTCTAGTATTATGAGAGAGGGCAAAACAATTCTCTCTGTTAATCTTCTTCCTCGACCGTATGATTTTATCAATCCACCAAGTCGTCTTTTCTCGAAACGAACAGAGTCCAGGAGTCTCAGCCTTCCATCGTGGGGAAGGTGTTCCAACCTCTTGGTCATTTTGGTTGCCCTTTTCTGCACTCCAGTGCCCTTTTTTGAAAGAAAGAAAAATGGCTACCTGAACAGTGTACAAAATTCTGAATGAGGCTATACAAGGGCAGTACAATATTGGTGGTGGAAACTGCTGTCAACTCGCAGGCGACTTATGGCGACCCCACAGGGCTTTCAAGGCAAGAGACCTTCGGAGGCGGTTTGCCACAGACTGCCTCTGCATAGAGGCTCTGGACTTCCATGGTGGTCTCCCATCCAAATACTAACCAGGGTTGACCCTGCTTAGCTTCCTAGATCTGACGAGATTGGGTTAGCCTGGGCCACCCAGGTCAGGGATTATAATATTAGCTGTTTTATTTTCAGTCCCTTTATTAACAGTTGCAAGTGTCGAATCTTGGTGCTTGGGGGGGTCCACAGTGGGAGGGCTTCTAGTGTCCTGGCCCCACTGCTGGACCTCCTGATGGCACCTGGTATTTCTGGCCACTGTGTGACACAGAGTGTTGGACTGGATGGGCCTTTGGCCTGATCCAACATTGGCGTCTCTTATGTTCTTATGAATCAGCCTCTCTTGTTGCTGCTGGATACCATGTAAATACTTCTTATAGTGCTGTCAGCTGTGATCCCAAGATTTCTTTCCTTCCCTGTTCTTGCCAGTTCAGACCCTATTAGTATGTATTTAAAGCTATGATCCGTTGCTTCAGCATGTATCATTTAATTTTTTTCTGAAGGTGGAGTCACGAGAGGCAAAGGTGGAATGAATTATGACTTCACTGAAGATGAAGAGGTGGAAAGAGGGGGGTGGAATCACTGGATTTTGTGATAATTAACCCTGGAAATGCCCCTATTTTTTTGGAGTTGTCGACGTTTGAGCACAGAATAAACACTCATTTTCTTCTCTGGATATGTATTTTCCAGGGTGATTAGGAAAGCATTTTAGTGACTCTAAAATAAGTACTCTTGAGCTTAACATATATTGGAAATCTCTTCTCACCATCCAAAAAATATCTGCTTGGGTAAAAGCGGTGAAGAAGTGGTATTGGTTTCAGTGCACTAAAATGTACACAGTCCTGGCCAGATGCCTCTCTCCAAAAGTTTTTTAAAAATCTCATACATGGCTGTTACATTATTTTTCAGATTGATGTCACACCAGAAAGTTACCTTGACCTATTTCCATTTGAAACAATTGTTTACCTCACTCCAGATGCTGAGGAAGGTATGTTGTGCCGCTGAGGTGAAAGACTCCTGTTAAGTTTTTTAATTATTTTGAATAGGTTTTAGAATTTTTTTGTGTATTCTTAAAGTGACTTTACCCAAGCTTGTCTTCAACTTTTGCCTTTGTTATGCCTAGATGGTAAACATCTGCAGTGGCACATCTGCCTTCGGCATAACTGGAACATTCCTTTGACTGTTAATATAGTGAAACATTTTCTGACATTGTGACTGATGGGCAATTCCAGTGCTTTTCTCTACTCACATGCCACATTATTGGCTGGTGCTGAGGGTTGGGTGAGGAGCACTCTGATGTCATCAAGATGTGAGAAAGTTACTGGTTAAGAGTGTTGGGCTAGCATCTGGGAGACCCAGGTTCAAATCCCCTCTTGTGCCATGGAAGCTCACTGGGTGACCTTGAGCCAATTATACTCTCTCAGCCTAGCCTACCTCACTGGGTTGTTGTGCGGATAAAATGGAGGAGAGGATGGTGTAAGCTGCCTTGGGTCCCCATTGGGCAGAAAGGCGAGGTACAAATGAAGTAAATAAAAATAAATGTGTTTCAGAGGAGTTGATACAGGATACTTCTTCACCCAAAGAGTGATTAACACAAGGAATTCACTGCCACAGGAGGTGGTGGCGGCTACAAGCACGGACAGCTTCAAGAGGGAATTAGATAAGCATATGGAGCAGAGGTCCAACAGTGGCTATTAGCCACATGGTATAGATAGGAACTCTCAGTCTGGGGCAAGTAATGCTCTGTATTCTTGGTGCTTGGGGGGGGGGAGGCAACAGTGGGAGAACTTCTAATGTCCTGGCCCCACTGCTGGACCCCCTGATGGCACCTGGTATTTTTGGCCACTGTGTGACCCAGAGTGTTGGATTGGATGGGCCAGTGGCCTGATCGAACATTGGCTTCTCTTGTGTTCTTATGATGCCATTTTCAGTGGCAACCCTATGTTTCTGTTAATAAATAACTCTGCCTTTAGACATATGTCTAAGAACATTAAAGGCAAAGCTGGAATGTAGAGTAAGTGGATATCATTTCTGCAATAAA